TCAAGTCAACAACCCCAAGCGCGGTGGCACCAAACGTCGAGATTGGGAAGCAGAGGATGAGTCCTAGGGGTCGTCTCCCACGTTGGGCGCTAAAGATAGGGTCCGGATGGGCCTCCTGATAATGGGTCTGCTCCGAAAAGATGATTCAATCGTCATTTTTTTTCCATTAGCATTTTACGTTGGAAAGCGTAAAATGCTAGTATGGCTGTTGTGGCCGATAAATAAGTCGGACTAGGCGATGCCACTTGGTCAGACATGGTCTGCCTAGTGATGCCACCTAGTAATATATATATATAAGGAAATAATATATAAGGAAATTTGGGAAATTTTTTTTGAAGGGGTTGTTGACCCGGAACGGTTCATGTATGGAATAACGGGCCTATCCGAATGACTGTTTCGGGGCCCAGGAGAACTGGGAAAGATTAGAAAGAAGGCAAGTGTCGAATAGTGCGGGCGGCAAAGTCACCTGAGTGTACAAAGGTTTCAAAATGTGAAAAAAAAGTCTGACAGCCTGAGCAAGAAAAAAAAAAAAAGGAAAGAAAAGAAGAAAAAATAAAACAATTAAAAAGGATAATCCCGACGAAAAATCTCGAAGGAAGAGACAGAGACTGGAGGCATACTCAGCGAACAATATAGGTAAGAGGAAGAAGAGCCATGACTAATTCCGAACGTATTCCGAATATTTAATTATTAGGTTAAAAATAAAAAAATTAATTTAAAAAAATGAATATTGAGTAGAGCTATACGGAAGGGGGCATGAGGAAGGGATAATGGGAAAGTTGTAACGTCGGCGTTAGATCAGTGTAGGTGGCAACCCCGGGGAGGGGAGATGGCAACCGATCTGGGTACCTTATGCTTTAGTAGGACCATAGCAAGGAGTTAGGCGTTTCCAATGTCCGGAGGTCTGGCAACCGGTGTAAAACCGTTATTGGAAGCTGGAAGCTAGAAGCAGAAATCCGAGCGGGTACAGCACTTTCTTTTTCATTTCTGGCGTGACCCAAAGAAGTTCATCCAAGAAGTTTTCTGGCGTGACCCAAAGAAGTTCAACGCACAAGCAAGGTGGAGAACAAGCACCTTCGGAAGTCACCAGCAGATCACAGCAGCAAAATAGAAGCGCAGCTTGTGGGCAGACGCGCCCAAAAGGTCGGCGCTAAAGTGAGGCAGGTCACGGATCGTAGTGTCGGTGAGTGGTGAGGTTAGGTCAGGGTCGATCAGGTCCAATGTATAATTTTAGAACGGAGGGCCTGGTACAAGGAGTACGAGGCGGTCGTGAGGAGAGACGGTGGAGTCGTGCGAGGTTCCCAGTAGAGCAGTCGACGGCGCATATTGAGACGGAGCGTGGCGCGAAACCGCCCACGAGGCGCGGCCGCGAAAGGACTGGGTTCCTACCGGAGAGCACGGTCGGAGCAGTCGCCGGAGGAGCTGGAGCTGATTGTGGTCCGGGGCGAGCGAGCCCGGGAGCCAGGCTCGGAGCGTTTGCGGCGATTTTAAGGAACGCTCCGCCGCAAGAAAAAGGGGAGCGTAATCGATCCAACTGGTGGCCTCGTGGTGCCACAAAGAACTGTGCGGAATTGGTGAGCGGAGGGTTCCGCTCCGAATAAAGATTTCGATTGGCTAACTAAGTGAAGATCTTTTTTGTGTGAACGGGTTAGCGAAAGCTTTCCCGAGATATTTCCTTTCCAGCTTCGAGCACGTGGAAGCGCTTCAACCAGCTCGTCGCGGACAAAGGGGTGAGTGAGTACGAGTAGTTTTACATAAAGCCAATCGAAGCGACGCGGAACATTCCGGTCGTCAAACTACCGCATCGTCCGATTCCCGGCCGAAGGGGGTCCACCAAGTGGACGGTTGCCTTCGCCATAGACACCGCGAGTGATCCGATAAAGAGCCCGATCCTAAAATGTCACCAGAGCATAGCCGAACCGTTCTTATGTAATGCTAGCTCGCGGAAAAAGACGGCTGAGTCCATTATAGAAAAGCGCGCAGATACGCAGCGAATCCACATACGCCAGGCGCAGTAAGCCTTTTACCACGAAGCGGTGCAGAAGAGCTTGAGGGTGTAATTTTTATTTTATTATTTGGAGAACAGAGAAAGAGATACATGAAATGAAATATTATTCGTTAATTCCCTAATTTATGCTAACTCTATTGTAAGTTTTTCATTTTCAATCATTTAACCTAGCATCTAGTTGGTAGATACGTAAGCCAAGAAGGAAAACTGAATTTTTAGTGAAGTAAGGGGAAATAGGGATGGGGAAGCAGTAAATGTATAAGAACACTTTAGCCTAATAAACATGAATTTTATAATGAGATAAAAGAAAAATAATTCGCCTCGCTTAATTCGCCACCGCCTTGCCACTGAACCACCCCCAACTTTTGCGTTCTCGAGGATCTTGAGGATCCAAATGAAATCTGTTTTGAGAGGACTATGTTTGGCCTTCGCAGTTCGAGAGGCCGTGCACGCATTCTATTAACGATAGAATTTATGTTTGTCGAGGTAAGCATCAGGGAGAGAGAGGGGGCCCTATATGACCCACCCATTAGCCGACGAGGCCTAGCTGGCAACCGCGTGCAACCCCTTCTCTCAGCCGTAGATTCAAAGATGCCACCTCACCAGGTCGACTGTTCGTTACAGTAATAATTATCATAAATTTTTCTGGCGCCCAACTTAGTGGCCATGTTTTCAGTATGGCTAAACGCAGCCATGTTTTGCGTTCAATTCATTTCGCCTGGTTATAGTAGCATGGTAGTAACCAGACCAAAAGCCTCAGCAGCGGTGCGGGTACCGCATGGAATTCTACACTTAGTGAAAGGGTAGACCACGGTGCCACAGCAGTCGCAGCAATAGTTTGGAGTAGCAGTTCAGTATCTCGCGTAGGATTTCAGGAGGGAAAGGACTAACCTGACCACGAGTTATGACTGGCGAGTTGTGACAAGAGCAAAGGGACGGGAGAACTGACGCTGCAGTCGCTTGGAGAGCAGGATCAGTCAGCAAACTGATGTCTGACCACGCCTGGAGATTGGCAGTTAGGACCCGTCGCCCCCTAGTAGAGAAGATGGACGCTTGGAATTCAGTCGTAGGAGCTACGAATGACCACGTCCTAAGAGATAGCGTAGTTGACTCGCGGTGCCTGGGAATAGCAGGGACGGGCGACGAAGAGGCGTAGAGGGGAGTTGCTCGAGCCACCTCCCGAACAGATCAGAATGAGGAGCAAAGCAGAAAGAAGAAGAACAAAAGGCAGCGTGTATTGGCGGTAGGCAAGTTAAACGATGGCGAAGTTTGGTTTCATATTAATAGTAATCAGAGTTGTGGTAGTCGAAGAGAGAGAGCATCTGTTAGTTTATCTTCAGATTTAGAAAGTAAAATAGGAAAGGATGAATCCGGCAGAGGCAGAGAAGGGGGCAGCGACACCCAGGAAGATGCCCATCTGCATGATATGCAACAAAGAAATGGCAACTGGCAGAGCCAGGACCAAGTGCGGGCACGAATTTCACAACACATGCCAGGTCGAAGTCGTCATGCCCGACGTGCAAGGTAGTGTGCTTTGAGAAAGTCCAAGCGGCAAGTGACACGACCGCTGCGAGTACGAGCCAGCAGACTCGCCGGCCAGACTCACCCTGCGGGACTAGCCAAGCAGGATCTCAGGCAGAATCTCTAGGAAGCACAGCGGAGCTGCAAGCATTGGTGTCCCAATCAGTGAGCGCCATGCAGGCGACGTTACTGGAACAGCTATCGGCACAGGTGGACAGACTATTCCACCAAAGGGAGCGTCCAGAAAGGGATGAAGAAGTTAGAGCTGGAGTCCACGAACAACCCAGTGGGATTTACGATAATGAAGGGGCGATTCAAGATCAAAGTTACAGTTTTAGGAACGGTATAAGGCAACAAGCAGAACAAAGCCAAGCGTACAGACCAGATAAGGTGGGCCACATTATAAACAATTGGAAGATTCGGTTTAGCGGACATCCAGAGGGGATGACTGTCGATAATTTCATCTATCGGATAGAAGCATTGACCCACCAAACACTGGATAGTAATTTCTCAGCTCTGTGCGGCAATGCGAGCTTGCTGTTCGACGGTAAAGCGGGAGAATTTTACTGGCGTTTCCATAAGTTGAATAGAGGGATGAGATGGGGCGAGTTGTGCGACGCGCTTTGAAATCATTTCAGGGACAATAGAACGGATGAGGACATACGCGAAGCAATAAGAGACCGAAAACAACGCGAAAGAGAGGATTTCGATTCATTTTACGAGGCGGTAGAGCAGCTGATGGATGGGTTGAGTGTTCCCTTGAGCGAAGCCACCCTAGTAGAAATGGTTAGAAGAAATCTCAGGTCCGAGATCCGCCACGAGTTGCTGAATGTACCAATACGTTCGATAGGCCACTTACGAGAAGTTTGCAGGCGTCGTGAGCGATTTTTAGAGGAAGTGCGTCGAGATAGCAGCTCGTCAAAGCCGGGTTGGACAAAGAAGGCATTTGGAGAAACCCAGAGACGAGAAGACAAAGTCTCGCATAGGGACTATGCATCCGGCAAAGCGGTAGCGGAGTTAGGCAGTGATCTGGAATGGGAAGAGGCCCAAGAGTTCACGGACGAAGAAGCAGACGAAGTGGAGGCTGTGGCTCTCATCTGCTGGAATTGCAGGAAGGAGGGTCACAGGTATCACGACTGCGCGGGAAAGCGGAAAGTCTTCTGTTTTGGATGCGGGTCACCTAACGTGTATAAGCCATCTTGTCCGAAATGTCAAAAAAACGGGAAAGCGAATGCACCGGACCGTCCACCCCAGCGCTTTCCGTTAGGCTCAAACGAGGACAAGTAGGAGAGAAGGAAGAGTGCGACAACGAGCTTCGCGAAGGAGAGCATAGTAAGGCCAAGGTAGACGATAAGATAAGGTCTAGAAACACTAACAGGTTAAGGCAATATTGGAATTCGTTAAGGAATATAGAAACAATAAGGTATAAAACTTCGGACAAGCGTCCATTTGCGGAAGTTAGATTGTTAGGAGAAGTAGTCCTGGGTCTGCTTGACACCGGGGCAGCGGTCAGTTGTATCGGAGGGAGTTTCGCAGAAAGGTTCATAAAAAGCAAGGCAGACTTCAAGCGGAAAGGAACAACAGTGAGCACGGCTGATGGTCAACGACAACAGGTTGTGGGACAGCTGACGACGGATGTGGAGTTCAAAGGCCTAAGCAAAACTCATACCTTTTACCTAGTTCCCACGTTAAGCCAAGATCTGTATCTAGGTATTGATTTTTGGAAGAGTTTCGAACTTTTGCCCTTGGAGTTCCAGATCGGCGAGATTTCGGTTAGGCAGGAGTTGTCCGAAGCCCAGCAAACGAGTTTACAGGCGGTGATAGAGCTGTTTCCATCCTTCGCCAAGCTAGGTTTGGGCAAAACCCATTTGATTAGCCATAGTATCGACGTTGGAGAGACGAAAGCGGTAAAGCAGAGGCATTATCCGGTGTCTCCGGCAGTAGAGAAGCTGCTCTACGGAGAGGGCGAGAGAATGATGAAGCTAGGGGTGATCGAAGAATCGCAGAGTGCTTGGTCGTCGCCGGTAGTGCTAGTGCAGAAGCCGGGCAAAGTCCGGTTATGTTTGGACTGTAGAAAGGTGAATAGCTTCACCCAAGGCGATGCCTATCCACTACCGCAGATAGACGCAATCCTAAGCAGACTTCCTAAAGCGATGTTCATCTCGAGTTTGGATTTGAAGGACGCTTACTGGCAGATCCCGCTGGAACCAGCTTCACGCGATAAGACCGCGTTTACCATTCCTGGGAAGCCTCTTTACCAGTTTAGGGTCATGCCTTTCGGGCTCATGAATGCTTCTCAAACCATGACGCGACTCATGGATAAAGTTATTCCGGCCGCGCTACGGAACGAGGTATTCGTGTATTTGGACGACCTGCTCGTCGTATCCGACACTTTCGAATCGCATCTAGCGGTCCTGACGACGGTGGCGAAGCACATAAAGCAAGCGGGGCTAACGCTGAATATCGAAAAGAGCCATTTCTGCATGAGAACTGTTAAGTATCTAGGTCATGTGATCGGGGAAGGCGTCATAAGAACAGATCCCGAGAAGATATCTGCCATGGTAGATTACCCTGTTCCGCGGACATTGAAGGCGTTACGCAGTTTTATAGGCATGACCGGATGGTATAGCAAATTTATAAGTAACTATGCGGATATAGCAGCACCTCTAACCGATTTGATGAGACCCAAATGTCGTTTTACCATGACGCAGGCGGGTTTGGAGGCATTCTCAAAACTTAAAAACGCAATGTGTCAGGCTCCGGTTTTGCATAGTCCGGATTTTAGGAAACCGTTCTACATCCACTGCGACGCAAGCAGTTATGGGATCGGCGGAGTATTGGTTCAGAAGACGGAAGGAGAGAAAGGGGACGAGTACCCAATTGCCTTCGTTTCGAAGAAGCTGAGCAAGCTAATAGGGAAACGGTGCCAGACTTGAAAGTCATGGAAGGGAAGGTTTTCCGGCGGGCGAAACAGGATCAGGGAGTATGGCTAGGCGAGAGTTTCGCGTGGAAGTTATGGGTGCCAAACGAGATGATCCCGGAGGTAATGAAAGAAGCCCACGACAGTCCCACAGCAGCCCATGGAGGGGTCCATAAAACGCTGGAGAGGATTCGACGGATGTACTACTGGCCAGGATTAGTTAGGGACGTAAAGGACTACGTAGGCAACTGTGAGGTTTGCAAAGCGTGTAAGGTACCCAACCAAATAACGAGACCCGCGATGGGAAGGCCAGCAGAGACGCAGAGATTCTTCCAGAGAATTTTTAGGGCCGTATCCGAGATCCAAAAGTGGGAATATCGGAATATTTATCGCACTAGACCACTACACTAAATTCGTTTTCCTCAAGGCGGTAAAAAGGCTGTCGGCCGATGTAGTAGTGAAGTACATGAGCCAGGAATTGTTCCATACGTTTGGAGTTCCGGAAACGGTGTTCTCGGACAATGGGACACAATTCAAGGGCGAAGCGTTTAGAACGCTAATGCGGGATAATCGGGTGACGCAGATTTTTACAGCCGTCCACTCGCCGCAGGCTAATGCATCCGAAAGGGTGAATAGGTCCATCATCGCAGCCATAAGATCCTACGTGAGAGAAGACCAAAGGAATTGGGATCAACACCTCAGTGAGATCTGCTGCGCGTTAAGGACTTCAGTCCATTCTGGTACGGGCGCAACCCCATATTATTTATTGTTCGGGCAACAGTTTGTGGGATCAGGAGGATCGTACAAGCTCATGAGGGAGCTAGGGCTCTTGGAGGATAGAGAGATTCGGTTATCCCGGGAGGATTCGTTGGATTTAGTACGGGCCCAGGCTCAGAAGGTTTTAGCGAAGCAATCGGAGAAGAATGAAAGGCGGTACAACGCACGGTCCAGAGAGGTGACGTATCGAGAAGGACAAGAGATTTATCGTAGGAACTTCAAACAAAGCAACTTTGCGGCGGGTTACAACGCCAAGCTTGGCCCAAGATACGTTAAGGCGAGAGTTCGTAAGAGAACGGGTAATTCAACCTACGAGCTGGAGGACATGCAAGGGAGAGCAATAGGCACTTACCACGCCAAAGATTTAAAACAATAGTCTACGCCTCCGTGGTTTAGCTAAACAGGATCGTGTGAGACCCTGTTCTAGCTCTTGCGAAGGGGGCACTTTGTAACGTCGGCGTTAGATCAGTGTAGGTGGCAACCCCGGGGAGGGGAGATGGCAACCGATCTGGGTACCTTATGCTTTAGTAGGACCATAGCAAGGAGTTAGGCGTTTCCAATGTCCGGAGGTCTGGATACCGGTGTAAAACCGTTATTGGAAGCTGGAAGCTAGAAGCAGAAATCCGAGCGGGTACAGCACTTTCTTTTTAATTTCTGGCGTGACCCAAAGAAGTTCATCCAAGAAGTTTTCTGGCGTGACCCAAAGAAGTTCAACGCACAAGCAAGGTGGAGAACAAGCACCTTCGGAAGTCACCAGCAGATCACAGCAGCAAAATAGAAGCGCAGCTTGTGGGCAGACGCGCCCAAAAGGTCGGCGCTAAAGTGAGGCAGGTCACGGATCGTAGTGTCGGTGAGTGGTGAGGTTAGGTCAGGGTCAATCAGGTCCGATGTATAATTTTAGAACGGAGGGCCTGGTACAAGGAGTACGAGGCGGTCGTGAGGAGAGACGGTGGAGTCGTGCGAGGTTCCCAGTGGAGCAGTCGACGGCGCATATTGAGACGGAGCGCGGCGCGAAACCGCCCACGAGGCGCGGCCGCGAAAGAACTGGGTTCCTACCGGAGAGCACGGTCGGAGCAGTCGCCGGAGGAGCTGGAGCTGATTGTGGTCCGGGGCGAGCGAGCCCGGGAGCCAGGCTCGGAGCGTTTGCGGCGATTTTAAGGAACGCTCCGCCGCAAGAAAAAGGGGAGCGTAATCGATCCAACTGGTGGCCTCGTGGTGCCACAAAGAACTGTGCGGAATTGGTGAGCGGAGGGTTCCGCTCCGAATAAAGATTTCGATTGGCTAACTAAGTGAAGATCTTTTTTGTGTGAACGGGTTAGCGAAAGCTTTCCCGAGATATTTCCTTTCCAGCTTCGAGCACGTGGAAGCGCTTCAACCAGCTCGTCGCGGACAAAGGGGTGAGTGAGTACGAGTAGTTTTACATAAAGCCAGTCGAAGCGACGCGGAACATTCCGGTCGTCAAACTACCGCATCGTCCGATTCCCGGCCGAAGGGGGTCCACCAAGTGGACGGTTGCCTTCGCCATAGACACCGCGAGTGATCCGATAAAGAGCCCGATCCTAAAATGTCACCAGGGCATAGCCGAACCGTTCTTATGTAATGCTAGCTCGCGGAAAAAGACGGCTGAGTCCATTATAGAAAAGCGCGCAGATACGCAGCGAATCCACATACGCCAGGCGCAGTAAGCCTTTCACCACGAAGCGGTGCAGAAGAGCTTGAGGGTGTAATTTTTATTTTATTATTTGGAGAACAGAGAAAGAGATACATGAAATGAAATATTATTCGTTAATTCCCTAATTTATGCTAACTCTAGGATACATTACATTGGAATTCATTGCCCCCGCGCTACTATTGTAAGTTTTTCATTTTCAATCATTTAACCTAGCATCTAGTTGGTAGATACGTAAGCCAAGAAGGAAAACTGAATTTTTAGTGAAGTAAGGGGAAATAGGGATGGGGAAGCAGTAAATGTATAAGAACACTTTAGCCTAATAAACATGAATTTTATAATGAGATAAAAGAAAAATAATTCGCCTCGCTTAATTCGCCACCGCCTTGCCACTGAACCACCCCCAACTTTTGCGTTCTCGAGGATCTTGAGGATCCAAATGAAATCTGTTTTGAGAGGACTATGTTTGGCCTTCGCAGTTCGAGAGGCCGTGCACGCATTCTATTAACGATAGAATTTATGTTTGTCGAGGTAAGCATCAGGGAGAGAGAGGGGGCCCTATATGACCCACCCATTAGCCGACGAGGCCTAGCTGGCAACCGCGTGCAACCCCTTCTCTCAGCCGTAGATTCAAAGATGCCACCTCACCAGGTCGACTGTTCGTTACAAAGTAGAGGGGGAATCGGGTGTTTGACTTAGGGGCGGACGCGAGAAAAGGCCAGCGTTCCGCTAAGGATGGGAGGGAAGGCAAAGAAACTCCAAGTCAACAGAAGTATTAAAAATCTGTGATTCGTTAGGGTAAGCATAAATGTTACGTGTGTTAGGATTAAGAGTCTTGAATTTGGATGTTGTGGGAGTTTAAGTGTTGAGTAATGTCCAAGAGATCTCTGTGTTTTTTTTTAGGATAAATTATTGTTAGCGGTCAGATGGGAAGGGTCAGGGGAGCCACGGCCCTGGATGAGCTAGTCGGTGCCAGACCCATGCCGATAGGCGGACCGTCGGACCCGAAGGGGTCATAACAAATTAAAGATAACAAGATAATTTAATTTAACGAACAATAACAATCGAAATTTCAAAAACAACTCCAAATATAAATAAAAACAGAGTATTCCTTGACAAACCGGAAAATGAATTTCCAAAGTCGCTGAGTGGAGTAAGCTTGCTTTATTTAATTTTAACTTTTATGCATTGCGCTGCCACCTGTTTTTTGCAGCGTTAACCTAGTACTGTGACGACGAAAATCCGCTGTCGAAAATCCGCTAGCGAATTCGCACTTTATTCAGCTACCGAGCTAGTGTGACCAAAAAAATTAAGGAAAAGGGTAATACTGAACAGCTGTTGTTTGTAAACAAAAAACAAATAAGCAAAAATGAATTTAAAACGATTGGATGTTGGTGTTTTGTTTATGTATTTCGCCGCTAAGGAGCTGATTAAGAAAAAGAAAACTGGGTCAAAATCAAAATCAATCACAAATCATTTCAATGCCATTTTATGGCATTAAAATGCCCCTTGCGGGTCAAATCCTATATTATGGGCTTCGGCCTGACCGCACTAATTAATTTCAATTTATCCTCTCGCGCCGAAAATTTTTCGGCCCGACTATTTTTTTCTTTCATCAATTTTCCCTCCATGTTTTAGCTATCGAAATAAATAGAATTAATTCTTTCAACACCCCAAAATCAGCTGTTTATTTTTTTGATCCGGCAACGCCATTCAATTCGGTAGCTAAAATTTTCGTCGTCAGAGTACCGGAAAAATCTAGGAGACCAAAATTTCTTCTTCTTCCTATTTTTAAACAGTTTTTTTTTATGGAGTTTGACAGCTGTCACTCATGCGACAGCGGATTTTCGTCGTCACAGTACTATGCTTTAAGTTTCACTATAGGAAATTTGACCCATTTTTCTGGACGAAATTAATATCTCAAGAACGAAACAAGATATTTTAGCTCTGATTTTTGTTTAAAGAACTCCGATTTTGAAAAATTGTGGGCGTGGCATCGCGCCCTATTTAAAAATCACATAGTAACTCAAAAACTAAGCAAGATATTTCAATTTGGTTTTTTTAGTGTTTTATAAAGCCATAGTCTTCTTATGGAAAACTAGGCGTGGTATTTTTTTATACACTTGCAGAGGGTATTATAATTTTGGTCAAAAGTGTGCAACGCAGTGAAGGAGGCATCTCCGACCCTATAAAGTATATGCATATATTCTTGATCAGGATCACCTACTGAGTTGATATGAGCATGTCCGTCTGTCCGTTGGTTCGTCTGTCTGTCTGTTTCTATGCAAACTAGTCTCTCAGTTTTAAAGCTACTTGAAACTTTGCACACACCCTTCTTTCCTTTGCACGCAGTATATTAGTCGGAACGGCCGGGATCGGCCGACTATATCCTATAGCTGCCTATATCCTATAAATTTATCGGAAATGGTATAACTTTGGTGTTTTTAAAGTTAAAGAGTTATTATTGGAAGAATAATACGACATGACAAATTTCATAAGGATCGGCCGACTATATCCTATAGCTGCCATATAACTGAACGATCGGAAACAACCCAACTTTTGTGTTTTTGAAGATAGAAAACTTAGTACAAATTCTATTTTAGGTCAGATAATCCGACCTACCAAATTTCATAAGGATCGGCCATATAACTGAAGATAGAATTATCTATTTCTATTTTGAAGATAGAAGTTTGGGACTTTTTTTAGATTATATTGATATTTTGTATTATAATAAATTGGGTTATATTATCATATTCTTATAAGGATCGGCTAACTATATCCGATGTTTGCGTTATATATCCGGTTTTAACTGCAAGGGTATATCAACTTCGGCTACGCCCGAAGTTAGCTTTCCTTTCTTGTTTTTTAATGAAAAATCTCGTAGAAAGAAAATTAAACAATCTACAACATAGAATAAGTTTTATTGATGGACTCGGCTTGACTTACTTTAAATCTCTTTTTAAAAATGATATTTAATTCTAAAAATTCGTTTGCTAGACTACTTACATTTTCACTCTATTAAAAGGACAACACAAGTTTTTTGGACATTTCACATACAAAAACACATAATACGTGTAGTGTGTATTGATGAAAAGTATACATTTGAAAAATTTGGATTTTGTTAATTAGGTTTACAGTTTTTGCGTTTTTAAAATTGCACTAAAAATCTAAAATTGGAAGCTCATTTAAGCGTTAACATCAAAAGCTGATTGGTTGCGCATCTCCAATTCATGCTTAGAGGCTGAAATTATAGTCAACTTTCGTGTGTTACACACACGAATCGGCCGAAATCCTTTGATTTTTGATTTCGCGCTGTGATCGCTTGTCGATTGTTTAACTCCTTGTGCACCACACATCCTCTATAGTTTGCCGTATGGTTGTCCCGGTAGTTTCCATATTTCTTCACGGTACTGTTCTTGTCTGTAGTGTAGTCGGAGTTGTGGGCGCCCGCGCAGACCTAGTGGGTTCTTACTCATGGCAATTAGTGCATTACACTGGACCGTTGCGTTTATGTGGCTCTTCCACAGTGGTTCTGCGATGCAAAAGATATTGCAGTTTGTAAATTGGGTGGAGTTCGTTCTTCATCAACGACTTGCTTTCTCACTCGAGCTCGATCTTGCAGAGGGGTTGTGGCCTTTTGTCTTTGTTAAGAATGTTAACAACATTCTTGGCGTGGAAGCCCTTTTTTTTCAAAGCGGTTTTTTAGATCCGTGGCGGTGAAGTCGAGTTCAATTCCATTTAGTACCACTTGTAATAGATTTACCAATAGATTAGTTTTCCCCAACCTTCGCCAGCAGAGCAAATCTGTCGCTACTGGATCTGCCTGGTTCTTCGTCGATCTTCTGGATGCAGTTTATTTTTATTTTATTGCGCTTAATTTGAATTTAGCGGTCCATTCCATTTTGTGTGGTCGAGTCCGCTTTGGCACTTTCCGAAGTTGATGTTTTTGTACTCGCTGTAGTCGTTGACGTCGCGGCATTTTGCATTGCAGTAGTTGTCGCTGCAATTGCAGGAATAGTGCCTTTTTCTTTTGTACATACAATATTTATGCACTTTTGAACAGAATGTTTGATCCATATTGAACAAAAAACATGCAAGATATTCAACAAATAAGTTCTCGCCACCTTCTAGCAACAGCACCTGGCAAAGAAGTTGAAAAAGCCAAATTAATATAAGAATAATCTAAATTGCTCCAGTTGTTCTAAATTGCTCCCAAAAAGTGCATAATAAGAAGTGAAAGAAAAATTCAGCTAAAAAGGCTTTTATAAAATGACAAAATGTTGGTGTAGTATAGATAGACATATGGTATAGACACCCACAATTTGAACAATTAATGAAATTTAACAAAGAGTAAAAACTACTATAACTTTTCATTAATTGCAATACCTGTTTTTAAAGCGGTTTTTCTCATAACTGATTGTTGAACATAACCTTTTAGGGTTGAAGCATCATCGTTTAATGTTTTAATAATGCATTCACAATAGATTTGAAAAAGTTTGAAAACTTTTAAAAAATGTCTAAATGCCACATAAAGTGGTCAAGTGGTTCACTGCCTTAGACGCTAGAATAAGAATAATAAGAACTTAAAATTAAGTCATTATTCTTTTTGGTAAAATTTTCGGTAATACTCACTACTATTTCAAATAACTTATTTTACTTTGGTACTTAACTTCTTAGATAATATATATACTTTATTGAAAGTCATATTGTAAATTGTCTACATTATTCGGGGTAAATAAATCTTTTTCAGTGATGAAATTTCTTGATTGAAAAAATTGATTAAATTTAAAATATATTGAAAATGAAACATTACACATTTTCAGAGCTTATTTCGGTGTACATACAAAAAAAAAAATATTTTTTGTAGGTGTTTTTGGGATAGGTGTTAAATTATTTGCAGAGTAGAAAAAAAAACACATTTATCTTATTTGGTGACCAAACCGCATTGTAGAAATTTTGAAAAATTGTTAAACTCTTGCAATATATTTATAATACCGTCATCAAAGTTGAGTTTAAGCAATTATAGTAATTGGCGTCACTGTCAAAGAAAGTCTTTTGAGAAAAATAGTTTTATTTTGGGTTATATTCAATATGCTTGAAAAAGTTTTGTTCAAATGTTTAAAGAATTTTGTAAGTAAAGTAAAGTGAATTTTTTTGATTGATTGATATGATTTATTTCAGGCGCAAGGAAAACCCATGCCTGTAAGCATTTTTGGTACTGCATCGATGCTCTATGGCTTCAAAAGTAAAGAATGTCTATTTAAAAGATTAAACTTCCATTTTTCTGTCAAATAAAAAAAAAATTACAAATTAATAATTTGTTTTAATTATTAATAATGTTTTTCAAGGTGCCTACGTTAGCCTACAATGTTTGAGTATAAATTTTTATATATTTTAGATGGTAAGTAATAAGGTACAGTGAGTTTTTAGTTTCTATGAATTTTTTTTTTTACCCTTTTACATAGAATAATACATTTTTTAGAAACGGAGAAAATTTATAAAAAATACCTCAATAACTTTTAAATGTACTTTATTCCCGAATTTCTTTACGGTGATGCAGTACGATAATTCGTTTTTCAGTCTTGCAGCTATTTAACACAACTTGTTACTTTTCCTGCAGTATTGTAAGTCCGAATGATTGTTATTGAATAAACGTTCTATAGCTGACATGTTTAAGTGGTTATAACTTAGAAGTAGTGTAATAAGAAACTCATTAATATGATACATTCAAACAATTTAGAAATTGCAATTGGTTTACTGCGTAACAAAATAATGCGCTTTTTTAAAAAAGCTTTGTATTTTTGTAGTATATATTTTATTTTGGTTACACATAAATATCGATCAACTATTCCCTGTATCTACAATTTAACTGAATAAAAGATATTATCTTTTTTTTTTTTATCATGTTTATATATAGGGTATATGAGCTCCCGCTTCCTTCGAAGTTGACCTTCCTTTTTTAGAAAAAAATTGTAATCAATTCTAAAAGGGTGTGCCACGCATTTAATTTTTGTTTTGGTTTTAGCACTACATTAATGGTAAAATTTTCATTATAACATGGGTTTTAATATTTTAGGTTAAATTACTATTTTTGTTTTATGAAATGTACAATAATCCTAGTTGTCATCTACTATTTCTGCCTTCTCGTCCATAAACCATAATGGGCACATACCAAGTAGGCAACCGGCAGTGATGCCAATAATTCGGCCCTAAAAAATGATTCTTGTTATATCTTCTCAATTGAAGGAGACTTTCGTGAATGGTTTTCTAACTTACGAAACTTGTGGCTCGCTTGCTAGACTTAAGATCAAATTGCGCAGGAGTTAACATGGGCTGTTTAAGACCTAAAATTTGGCATCCGTTTTCAACGTAAGTGGCTAATGTTATTCCCATAATGTCGCTAATGGTATTGCCCAGACCAGCGGTTGCCATTGTGGAAATAGCCACAACCTGGCCCAAAGAGAGCTCAATATATTCACCCTGAAATATAAAGTGTTAAAGGTTCTACAATTTTGTTATGAAAGGAGATATTACCGCTATTATCATAATAAAATTATCCAGAAAACCAAAGGCGATAAACGGTACAGCATTTACAAAAAAGACTAAAAGTAAAAAACGCAATTATTTAATTCAAAGAAACTGAGTCTTAAACTTACTGCTGTACAATTGGCCGGCGGACGGTGGGGCTGCAGACTTCACTGTAAATGTAAAATTAATAACACATATAATTAATTAACTGGTTGATTTAATCGATACATTTTTTGTCTTTCATCTACAAACCGGCTGATAAATAAAATAATAATAACTTTTTAATAAATATAAACATGCATTTCTTGCTTAATAAACATTACAAAGTCTACTTTAAGATACTTTGATGGCATCGCATGTTTGAGTAGTTTTATAAAACATATTGAATAGTTCTAAAATAAAGCAAGATTGACACAGAAGCTCTTGACTGCTCTTGCAGTATTTTAACTTTTTGGTAATTTTACATTTTTTTTGTACCCAAAGAAAGTTTATTATAATTTTTAAAAGTAAAAAAGATGTAGCACTTTCCGTATCGTGAAGTGACACCTAGGCGCACCATTAATGGGGAAATATGAATTTGTATGCAATTAGAGAGCGTCTGGAATAAATAAATCCAGTAGTTCACCATTTGTGGGCTCCAGGTGCCTGGCCACCTTAAGGGGGGACATATGAGTAGGGGAAAAATTTAAAAAAAAATCAATAAATCACAAAAATCCTGCGTGTGCCGATAGCTGTTGATGTATAGAAACTAACCAAACTTGATTTTTTGTTCTAGATCAAAAATTAAGGACCATGCCCCCCTTCAACAAAAAAGGGCCAACGAAGAAATGATGCACAGCTGCCATTTTGTTTTCGATTTATTCGAAAAAAATTGATGTAGTACTTCGCGACTAATATTATAAAACCTATTTTACAAATTTTTGCTTTCATTTAGCCGATAAAAAATCCAGGAAATTTCCAATTTTTTTCCAGTTACGAACAGCGAAGATTGGCCCCGAGCGGGAAGAAAACGGAAAAAGGCCAAGAGCGGAAGTGTAAAAAAAAAAAGGAACAAACATTGGCAGGAGGTGTAAAAAATGTATAATAGTTAAAGTCGCTGAATGGTCAATCGGTGGAAGAATCCTATCAAATCATCAACACTTGTCACTTATTTAAAATAACATAAGTTCAATGGGCTTTGGCCAAAACACAGAAATGGTCATGACAAATTCCTATAGAAATACAGCCTTGGTTACGGGTTGCGTGGAGATTGGCCTTGTCTTCTCTCTTATCAAGAAGCCTCGATTAGAAAATCAATTAATACAATTACAGGCGTGCCTCGGATCCCATCTAACTTTTTTTATTGTGCATAGGGACACAGCTATGTATGACGACCAGCCTGGTACCCAGGACCGTAGCTGCCATGGGGCAGGTGGGGCGGTGCCCCAGGGCCCCCGAAGGGAAGGGGCCCCGCGGGGCAAAAGACTTTCGTATAGGGGCCCCAAATTTACTTGTTGCCCCAGGGCCCCCGAGGCTCTAGCTACGGCCCTGCTGGTACCTTTCGAACATGTGCTTGCTGGTAGAAGGTACAATATTCAAGTGAATAACGATAAATCCACCGCCACCACGTTTTCTCTCCGTCGGGGAAATTGCCCACCGGTCCACCTCAACAGCTCCCCCATCCCTCAAGTAGAAAACCCAAGATACCTGGGCTTGACGCTAGGCAGGAGGCTTACTTGGAAGCCTCACCTAGTCAAAAAGCGAAAGCAGTTTGAAGTAAGATTAAAAGCGTACTATTGGCTGATGGGTAGGAGGTCCATGGACGCCGCTTGCCTTGACCACAATTTGCTTGGATGAAGCTGTACATTAGTGTCTAGCATACACCTTCTCTAGCACCGACGATATACCGGACAGTTCGAGGACAGCTTTAGGGCGTTGCGCAGTGTTCGGCTTGACGAGCCCAATTTCTCCGAACTTCCCACTCGCGACGACACGTCTGATCTCTCCTGACCAGGGTGTTCCGATGATGGCACCTCCACGCGCAAGACCTCTCACCTCGTGAAAGCAAATTCCCAGCGTAGGGGCGTCTCGACGACCCTTTTCGGGAGTCTCTTCACTTGAGAGTTCCGGTTCCTTGAACTCACGGCCGACTACGTGTCACGTAGTTTTCGTGTGACTCAGAAGGGGCCTATTAAAAGAGGATTTACTGTTTTTGTTGAAAACAAATTTTGTTGAAAAAAGTTTTCTCTATGGAAAATATAGATAGGGAGGAGTAATTTTTCATTCGTCTAAGAGTTGTTGTTAGGAAAGCTTTCTTTGGAAAAAAGGCACTCTTTAAGTGCCCATTCAAACTTTTAAGTTAACGCAATAAAAACAAACGGCAGTGAATGCCCTGCTATCATTTTTTTTTATTCCTACGCACACATCAAATGTTAAAAATGCGTGCGCTTTTCCTACCAGTGGTCAACGTTGATGATATCATAACCTTCAAAAATGATTGGGATTCTCACACCAAAAATTGTAACACGATCTTCAAATCTCTACAGCCAACATGAAATGTCAGTTGGACAAATGTGTGTTGTTTAAATCAGTGTTCAGCAGGGCCTTATCCCAAGGGCATAGGAAATTTCTCTAATATTTCTGTCTCAAAAGTTTGAACTTTTAACGGACGCCTCCAACTTTGTATTGGAGCCTTTTTGGCTCAAAGCAGTCAAACAGTGCTCGCGAATAACTGGTGGAATATCTGGCGGTTTTCAACATCAAAATGCGGTATAAATTGAAAACTAACGGCTAGCGGGAATTATAGCTATTTTCAAAACAAAATTGACAGAACGAATCGTACGAATTGTATTTTTATACCCTTGCAGAGGGTATTATAATTTTGTCCAAAAGTTTGCAACGCAGTGAAGGAGATATCTCCGACCCTATAAAGTATATATATTCTTGATCAGGATCACCTCCTGAGTTGATATAAGCATGTCCGTCTGTCTGTTTCTACGCAAACTAGTCTCTCAGTTTTATAGCTATCGACTTGAAACTTTGCACCCAACATTCTTTCCTTTGTACGTATATGAATTTTCGGAAATGGTATAACTTTGGTATTTTTAGAGTTAAAGAGTTCGGATTTTTATACGACTATACGACTACATACGACTATAGTTGGCGGATCCTTAAATCATAATATAATTAATAAATTACAATAAAATTTCTAAAAAAAAAAAGTCCCAAGCTTCTATCTTCAAAAATACCAAAGTTGGTATTTCTACCAAAAACCATTTTCGATCGTTCAGTTATATGGCAGCTATAAGATATAGTCGGCCGATCGAAATTTAGTAGGTCGGGTCAATTCACCAAAAATAGAATCTGTACTAAGTTCCAGCTTTCTATCTTCAAAAACACGAAAGTTGGGTCATTTCCGATCGTTCAGTTATATGGCAGCTATTGGATATAATCGGCCGAAATTAGTCCTTTCAAGAAGCCTTGTAAATATTCCCGATTAGAAAATAGGCTAGTGACAGACATTTGCTATATATATCCGACGTGTAGCATCGTGAGTTTTCAACCGCCCTGAACTGCGCAGTCAACGTGCTCATTTGCTAATGTATAATTGTGCCGCTTCTAATGAGTCTTTGAAGATGCGGGTTACGTATCGAACTTTCGCCCCCAATGTAGAGCGCCCGGTGGAATGAGAGAGTTTGCGCCTTCGTATGCAAAAGTGCCTCACGATAACGGAAAGAGATAACACTTCAAGATGCCGGTTGAGTCGGTGCTATGATCAAGAAAGTTATCTGATGAGCCTTTGAAAGAAAAATTGAATGTTTTACCTCTGTATACAACTGTGAGTGTTGGATACGTCCTCCGACTCTGAGTTTGGTGTCCTAGTCTATAAGACAGTGCGACAGTGATTTGGAACTTTTGAAGAGACCTAGTAGGAATTGTTCATTAGGTGGAATATAGTATAAAACCGTGTTTGAAATTTTTCTTTTTTCTTCAGACTTTGACGCCATTTTTCCGGTACAACTTCCAAGAAATAGTATCATTTTTGACACATATAAAAATTGTCGTTAATTCTGAATATAACGAGACCAATTTCATTATGAAATTATGACAGAAATTTACCTTTGTTATTGTTTTCCTAAAATTTTTACAGTGAGTACTAGCTGGAAGTACTAGCTGGACAAGCAACTTGAGCATGTTGCAACCATCGAATTCTTACCGCCTTGATTTTATCAAAGATTTGAGAAGTCGATGTTCGTTTCGAAGAAGGGTGTTTTATGCGATTAATAAATCGCAAAACATAACCTAGACAGTGTATAAGCTTCAGCGAAGATGAGATGCAATTGAGAATGGATTGTCCGTCTTGACAACCACCTGTGCAGCTAGGCAGTTGGTTTTGACCTCGCCTTGTACGAGGGCCGCTATATATATTTCTGGCCTAGGCCATACTAAGTGTTGCCTGGCGCCGTCTGACGTTTTCATTGGGAAGTTTGACATGTTTTAGCAGAAACGTGCTCAGAACGATTTGACGTACGGCCATAATTTGTATAGCTTAGAGAGACGCCCCAATTGAGAATGTCTGGTTTTGACGCAAGAAGCTGAGAACACGACATACAATATCTTATCACTAGAAAGAGAGAAGAGGAACTTTGAGAGCTTGATTTACGAAGCCATCAATTTGCGCATTTAATCGTTACCTCATTAATATTAAAAAACCTTATGTATAACCGTCATAAATAAATATAAATATATCTAGGTGACATTAAACCGAGTTACCAAAGGTGTTACTGGTTAAGCTGAGATTAAGTTACCTTAATTAGGGTATTGATTATGGAAGATTAGCGGGTTGTTCTAAAATATGTAAAATAGTTAAGATCCGGGCCATTTTCGCAGTAGCTTAATTCAAAATCTCTGATGCTAACCGTGTGGGTCTCTTTACCGTGTGTGAAGTCGTAAACCACAGTCGAGTCTACGTGAATTTTCAATAGGTGTTTAGCCCTCGTGTAATAAAGTGAAAATCAGTGGAACTATATCTAGCAGCTTTAGTGCTACGAGTGATTTTTTCACAACATGTCAACACATGCTTTCGAAGTTTAGAATTTTGTAGTTTTTGATAGTTTTGAATTTTACATAAGCTCGGTTTCTCTTAGTGTACATATATCTATGCACTTGTAAGACTCCCGCACCATCAACG